AAACTGGAACTGGAGCAGGGAGCAGCAAGCCTAGTCCTCGCAGCCTGATGGCCCCCCAATAGGTCCAGCAGATATGTTGTTGATATGCTTTGGTGCGCTTGTTTCTTCTGTTGTCGACTGGGCGAGCATTACATGCATCCATATTTCTAGCTCGTTAGATGCGCTCCTGGTTTGCGAAGCCCAAACTCGTTAGCCCGTAGGGGTCCGCCCATACGAGTCCGACCGTCAGGGTCTACCACGAGGGTCCCTCCCTTGCGGAGGCTCGAGTAAGCCTCAAAGGCCAGCCCGCACGCCGAGTGCTGCGGAAGGGTACCGGCACCGTGCTCAGGCCACACCGCAGCGATGCCCGCCGCGGCCCAACACGTAGGGCAGGCCGAGGACGAACGCGAACGCGGACAGCGATGCGACCCGCAGGTCGCCAGGCGCCGCAGCAGGCGCACCCGAGGGCGCCGTGGGCCCGAAGGCCCCGTTTACCCCCGCGCAAGAGGCAGGAGGGTGGGGCTGCAGCGTGGCCACCTCCTCGCCCGCCACCATCCTGTCGAAGGCGCCGACACCAAGCTGAGACTGCCAAGAAACATATCAGAGCAAACGTATGCTGCTCTGCATGCGCTGGCAGGCCCGACCAGACACGGCGCTCCTCGCACACACGCTGGTGCAGTTGCGCTGCTCGTTACGCTTAGCACGGCAGCGAGCAATGACAGCATCGAGAGGTCCAGCTCCTCTGCTCCCGCTCCGACGCCTCCCCCCCGGCCCTCGCACGCCCCTGGTCCACTCCTCCCACGGCGCCTCCGGGCGCTGCCGCCGGTGGTTGGCAGAAGCGAAGAAAATAACAAAAATACAAAAATTAAGTTAAGAAAAAAAATGGCGAGGCAATACGGGCTTTGCACTGACGGTTTGGCCCCCTCGCCGCAGCGTGCACGCCCGCGCCGACGGCCATCGACGCCCGGCCCTGCAGAGGAAGTCCGAGCCCGCGCCTCGCCAGGGCAGCAGCGGCCGCGTGGGGCTGCCGCCTCGCTGCCGTCCCCTCTGCCTCGCAGTCGTGCGCCTCGCTCCTGCCGGCGTGGCCTGCCTGCCACGGCGCCTCCGAGGCACCCTGCGCGCCACGCGGGACGATTCTGTGGAAAAACACACACACATATTGTGGGAAAACACACACACAAACACAAACACACACGCACGCACGCACACACGCACGCACGCACGCACGCACGCACGCACGCACGCACACGCACACGCACACGCACACACACACACACACACACACACACACACTGTGTGTTTTTCTCCCAGGAACGCGCCCGGTCAAGCGCGGCCGCGAGGGAGCCGGCGCGGGCGATTCGGGCACCCCGGGAGCGCTCCCGGCAGGTGTGGCCGAGCGCTTGCAGACCGTGCTGTCTGATCTGAGTGTATGCTCTGCCACAGCCTTCACACACCGTGCATCTGCTCGCCACCCGCCGTGGTGGCTGCCCGTCACAGTCAGTTAAAGGTGCCTTCCCTTTGCCTGGAGGAATGGCGTTCGAGCACCTGGGGCACGCCGGCACGGTTTCTGAGGGGCGCGCGCGCGCCAAGATTGCCCTCCGCGTGGCGCTGCGCCCAGCAGTCGAGGCCTTCCCGTGCCCGCTGTTCTGCCAGGATCTCCGCCACCAGGCACCGCCAGAGCGAACCACGCGTGCTCCCGCTGGCTCCGTCGGCTGCCCCAGCGATGCCCTGCCACTTCGTCGCCCAGTCGCCCTTCGGGACGTCGGTGCGCGTCATGATGCGGCAACTGTGGCCCCAGTACATGCTGCGAATCGTTGAACGTCCGCCTGCGTCACGCACCCCGTCTGCGCCAAGTGCATTTAGGCCAGCAGAAAGGAGCCTCTTCTCGACGCGGCTGTTCTCGTACCTGCCCAGGTGGCCAAGGTACTGCATCTGTCTCGTCCACACATTCACGAACAGTTTTCATGCCAAGCTTTTGCCTCAACTCTTCCATCGTGGCAGCACCTTCCATGGCTCGCAGGCCCCTCTTGGTGACCGGCCAGACGAGGTACCGAGAGAGCTCATTGATGAAGGACTGGTACCCTTCCCAGCTGCTCCGTGGAGAAAGTACGACACTCCGAGCCGTACAGCAGGCAGGAAATATCTGTTGCTTCCAGCACCTGACCCACGACACGCAACGGCAGCCTCAGGCGGAGAAGCGGCCTCTTCAGCTTCCCCCACACCATCCCCGCTGCTCGGAGGCGCTCTGTCGCGTCGCGCCGGCCCCCGCCGGCCATGTCGATCCAGGCCCCCAGCAACTCGACGCTCTCGTGGAACAGGATTGCAGTGCGAGGTGGCGGAGGAGAAGACTTTCGGCCAAGCCTGCGCCTGCTGCCGACGAACTGCTGATGCACGAACCCCTCGGGCACGAACTCCTCGAGCAGCCCTGTGCGCAGCCGCTCCGTCTTGCCCGGGTGGAGGTGCTCCCCGTTGCTCAGCAGGATGCCCCGGAGCAGCGCCTCAGTACGCCCCAACGTCGACGTCGTGCTCACTGCAGTAGCGTCGTCAGCGAAGCCCAGCAAAGAAATACGAAAATGCTCCGAAGGCGCGGCCGCCTCCGCCTCCTCGGCCTGAGCGAAAGCCTTGCTCAGGCGCTGCCCGATGCCGACGCCTTCCAAGACTTCTGACAGGGATCGAAGGCTCTGGTCATGAAACGAATTATGAATCGTGCTAGACGATGGGCAGCACTCACGCAGACCCTGGGCGAGCACGTTGGGCTCCGAGTCCTCGACGACCGTGCGCACCCGATACACTGCAGCGCAGTGTAGCCGACGAGCCATGGCAAGCATGGTTTCAGCAACTCCTGAGGCGCGGAGGGTCTCGCGGCAGTGGTCTCTCGGGACACTGAGGTAAGCCTTCTTGATGTCTACCAACGTCCAGATGAGGACTTTCTTTTCCTCCTCCTCCTCCTCCTCCTCTCCTCCTAATTTTTTTCATGTCTCGTATTGCATGAATCCAGACACATCAGATCCTAGAGGCCATGGTCCAACCACCTGGTCTGCTCTAGGCCCGGACGCTGTCCGCAACGGTGGTCGCATCGCATCGCATCGCATCGCAAAGTCCAGATTGTCCGGAGAGACTCGAGGAATTCCTCGGCAGCAGCCACCTTGCGCTGCGCGAGCGAGGCCACCATCTCGGACAGCGAGCGGCAGATCAAGATCGCATCCCTGGTTGACCGCCATGTTCGAAAGCCGAATTGGACATTGCACAGGCGTTGCTGCTGCTCGGCCCATGCGCTTAAGCGACTGGCCACAGATTTGGCGATGACTCTGGATACGATCGACAACCAACAGATTCCTCTGTACATGTCTAAATCTGCACGGGAGCCTTTGCCCGTCCACAGCAAGAAGACGAGCGCCGAGGCCGATTCCTTGTCCCAGGCGGAACTGCCGTCACCAGGTTCGGCCCACAAGCGCCGAATCAGCTCGCAGAGCCTCTTTTTCGTCTCCTGGCCGCACAGGCGAAGCATTCCGACCGTGACCTCGTCCTCCCCGGCGGCCGACTTGCGCATCTTGCCCAGAGTGTGGTTGATCTCGTCATCCTCGGGGACCGTGCCCAGCTCCGTGTAGACCTTCTTCGGCGCCTCGCACGTCGCCTCTGGGACCTCGTTGGCACTGCCGCCGATGTTCAAGAAGTGGTCCCGGCCTGCCCTCGCAGTGATGGAGTCAGCATTGGAGAAGTCTCTGTCCTCCAACCAAATGCCTAGCTCTCTCGTGGCACGGTGGAACCGACGCTTATCATTGTTGGCGAGTGCATGGGAGGATTCCTTGCAAACCTCGTCGACCAGCTCTCTGGTCCAGTGGCGCTGCAGTTGGCGCTCCCGCTTCGTAAGAGATCTGTGCCTCTCCCGCACGGCTGTCTCCATGGGCTGGCCTCGGGCACTCTGAACACGAGCGTAGCTGTCCCGAATGCGCTCCTGGCTCTTCAAGAGAGCGGCCCTCCGTTTTGCCAACGCTGAGAGATCTTTGCTGCGAGGCGCCCGGCCCACGACCTCCGCCACACACGTGGTGATCGTTGCCGAAAGGGGGCCTAAGGACCAGTGTTCAGCGCAATCTTCACGCTCTGCCTGCTACACGGCGGCATCTGTGAGATCTGCAAAGCGTCGGCGCAGTCCCTCACCCTTCACCGACTTCTCCAGCAGCCTTTCCCCCGGGAGCTTGGAGCCAGCCGCTGGTGGGTTACTTTGACAAGCAGCTTTGCCCGCCTCCCTGCAGAAGGTCTGGCGGCTCGACGCGGGCACGTTGAAGTGGATCTCCTTGCCCTTCCTGCACGCAGGCACTGGTGTACAGTCGCGCTGCGTTGCACGCAGATGTTGTGGTGTAGACAGGCGCTGAGGCGTGCACAGGCGCTGCGGTGCACGCAAGCATTGTGGTGTACACAGGCGCTCTGTTGCACATGGTTGTTGCGGTGTACACATGTACACCGGCGTTGTAGTGTACGCAAGCACTGTGGTGCACACAGGCGCTGCGTTGCACACGGTTCTCGCGGTGTACGCAGGTGTTGTGGTGTTCGCGCGAGTTGTGGTGCACGCGAGCGATGTGCACAAAGGCGCAGTGGGGCATATCGCCACCTACATTTTGCTCGCGTCGTCATCGTCGTCGTCGTCGTCGTCGCTCGTCGCTCATCGCTCGTCGCGTCGTGCGCGCGGGCGCGGCTGTGATGTCGGAACCACACTGCGGGGGGGGGGGGGGGGGCCGTAACGTCATACCCCCCCCTCCCCGCCCCCCCCCCTATGACGCCCGTCATCGCCGAACATGAAGAAACGCTCTCTCGTTAGCATGGTGCAACCAACGTGATGTGACGTAAGATTGCACCACATCGATTGCATTGCGGAGATTGCCCCGCATTCTTTCGCATTGCATGGGTTACACTACGTATATTGCACTGCGCAGGCTGCATCGCACACATCGAAGTGCATACTATGGTAGAACACGCTGTTTAGGGTCCACGCTGATTAGCATGTAGTTTTTTCCTTCCTCTAGGAGTTCTTGGCCGCCGCCGTCGACAGGAGTCGGAGGAAGAAAAGGTACCGATATCACTACTATCCGCTACTCTTCCCCTGTTTTCGTCGCCACCGCTGGATTCGCTTCGAAGTTCTGGTCAGAACGCACCCTGGCACAGGTCCAGGGAGTAGCTGTATCGGCACCGCGAGTCACTGTGCCGATACGCCTCCTCCTCCTCCTCCTCTTCCTCCTCGCCTTGTCCCTCAAGCTCCGCCTCCTCGTCCCCCTCCTCCTCGCCCTCCCTCTCCAAGGAGCAAGTACCAGGGCGAGGGGCTGTGCCGGTACGCCTTCGAGGTCCTGGACTGGGACGGCGACGGGCAGATCTCCCCCCAGGATATGAGGCGCGCCCTGCGCCACAGGAGCCTGTCCGGCGCCCTCGGCGCAGAGTTCCAGGCCACCACCGAGTCGCTGCCTGGCGACGGGGACTGCAGGAGAGTGCTTCTCTAGGGTCTGGCGATGAGCCGGCTTCTATTGAGCCCGTCCACCCCCCTCCCTGTGTCTGGGGGCAGGAAGAGGGGGGCGTGGTGTGAAGGGGTGTGGTGTGCCAAAGCTGGAGCCTGGCGAGGTCGTCTCTCGTGGACAGCACCGCCAGTTCCACGATGGGCACCACACCCCTCCATGCCACACCCCTGTCCATCCAACCCTCAGACCTGCCCACCTGGATACTCCAGATTTCGTAATAAAAGGGAGGGGGTCTGGACCCTCCAAGACAAGCCATTTCAGACCTCCCCCGTGGGAGAAGCCTCCAAAACATCGCCCCCAGACCCCCCAGGCCCTCCAGGATAGCCTGGAAGAGACCCCCCCCGAAATGAGACCCCCCTCCCTTGAAGGGGAGGGAGGAGGAGGAGGAGGAGGAGGAGGAGGAGGAGGAGGGAGGAGGAGGAGGAGGAGGGGAGGAGGAGGAGAGGAGGAGGAGGAGGAGGGTTACGAGATCTGGAGCAGTCTGACCCTGTCGGCTGCGCAGGTCCGAAGGGGGTGCGCAGTGCTCGTGCGGGCGGGCACCCGCGGGGCTGCCCACCTCGGAAAGCCGTCGGTCATCGGTCGGCACCTCCGCCCCCCCCCCTCCTGGCAGGGAGGGAGGGAGGGAGGGAGGGAGGGAGGGAGGGAGGGAGGGAGGGAGGGAGGGACTTGGGCCGTCTTTGAAAGGAAAAAGCACGATCTCCAGCCGCCGCAGCAGCATGAGCCTCAGCGATTTCACGGAGATCATGTGCAGGTGATCGTCCTGCACTCTTGGCCGCGGTGGGTTGGCCCGTAGGTCCTGGTTGCATGTGCCCCGCCCGCCAGGCCGGCGGCGCGTGCTGTCCGTTTCACCGCAGCGGGGGTGCCCGCAACGATTACGCAGGTACCTTCATGGGGAAGCCTCGCTGAATCCGTTTCCTGCTTCGCGCCATTGCGTTCGAAGGCCAGCTCAGATGGCAACCCGTTTGCTTCAGAGCTGCAGGGATGCTTGACCCAGATCCATCGTGTCGCGAGCACGGTGGTGAGTTCACCAGGCGCATGCATTAAGAAACCGCTTTGCCGGCAGCTCGGAGATCGGCAAATAATGTGCCTTAATATTGGTCATGGCAAGATTTCTTATTGCATGTGTCTGTACTACTCAGCCAGTGTCGTTGGTGTTGACAGAGTCTGTAATTAGCCACGTGTGGCGTGCACAAATGGACAGAGCCCCGACTTGCGAGGCGAAACTTCTACCTATAATGGCACAGGGCCCACGGAGGCGAATTTCTCCATGGTTGTTTTTTTGTTCTGCGCAGCGCTGCTGGGAGCATCCTTAGCATTAGCACGCAGCCATGTGCTGGTACACGAGATGCCAGCTTGGTTTGCCACGCGTTGTGTCCACAGTGTCCCATGGACATTAGTGGCTCCTGGAGCAGCAGGTGAAACTTACAAACACTGTCACCGAGGGCTGTTTGCCTTCTCGCATGAGGTGTTCGGCTTTAGGCTGGCCCCGTTCCGCCTCTACGCTCCTGTACCGTCAGGTGTCGCTAAGCCCTTTCTAGCATGGTAGAGGCATGGTTCCTCGTATCTCTTCGGCCCGTTCCAGCACGGTGGAGCCGCTGGCCCATCAAGCAGTTGTCGTCATCATTTGGGCACCCTCCGCGCATTTTGCGCCATGTCCCACACTTTCCAGCACCCTCCTCGGCGGCGAGCTGCGTGTCAAATGGACAGAGCCCCGACTTGCGAGGCGAAACTTCCACCTATAATGATGCAGGGCCCACGGAACTTTGGGCATGTGCGAATGTGTCCATGGTTGTTTGTTTGTTCTGCGCAGCGTTGCTGGCAGCATCCATGTGCTGGTACATGAGATGCCAGCTTGGTTTGCCACGCGTTGTGTCCACAGTGTCCCATGGACATTAGTGGCTCCTGGAGCAACAGGTGAAACTTACAAACAGTGTCACCGAGGGCTGCTTGAACTCTCGCATGAATTGTTCAGCTTTAGGCTGGCCCCGTTCCGCCTCTACGCTCCTGTGCCGTCAGGTGTCGTTAAGCCCTTTTTCGCATGGTAGAGACATGGTTGTTCCCAACCCTCCTTGGTTGGGTATTCGTTTTGAACAGAGCACTGCGGTCTCCAGTCCTTCTCCGCCTCCTCCTCCTCCCGCCTCCTCCTGTCCTCTCTTCGCCGTCGCTGGGGGGGTGCGATCTGCGACATTGTCGCCACTTTCGAGGGCTGCTGGTGGGTCCTGCGGAGTGAGGCGCCGCGGGGATCTGAGCGGGACCTCGCCGTGCCTTGGGGGGGGCTGCGATCTGCGACATTATCGCCACTTTCGAGGGCTGCTGGTGGGCCCTGCGGAGTGAGGCACCGCGGCGATCTTAGCGGGACCTCGCCGTCCCTTGGGGGGGGGGCTGCGATCCGCGACATTGTCGCCACTTTCGAGGGCTGCTGGTGGGTCCTGCGGAGTGAGGCACCGCGGGGATCTGAGCGGGACCTCGCCGTCCGTGGGGGGCTGCGATCTGCGACATTGTCGCCACTTTCGAGGGCTGCTGGTGGGTCCTGCGGAGTGAGGCACCGCGGGGATCTGAGCGGGACTTCGCCGTCGCTGGGGGGGTGCGATCTGCGACATTGTCGCCACTTTCGAGGGCTGCTGGTGGGTCCTGCGGAGTGAGGCACCGCGGGGCTATGAGCGGGACCTCGCCGTCCCTGGGCAGCTGCGATCTGCGACATTGTCGCCACTTTCGAGGGCTGCTGGTGGGTCCTGCTCAGTGAGGCACCGGGGATCTGAGCGGGACCTCGCCGTCCTTGGGGGGCTGCGATCTGCGACATTGTCGCCACTTTCGAGGGCTGCTGGTGGGCCCTGCGGAGTGAGGCACCGCGGGGCTATGAGCGGGACCTCGCCGTCCCTGGGGGGCTGCGATCTGCGACATTGCCGTTTTTCGAGGGCTGCTGGTGGGTCCTGCGGAGTGAGGCACCGCGGGGGTCTGAGCGGGACCTCGTCGTCCTTGGGGGGCTGTGATCTGCGACATTGGGTCCTGCGGAGTGAGGCACGGCACCGTGTGGATCTGAGCGGGACCTCGCCGCCCCTGGGGGGCTGCGATCTGCGACATTGTCGCCACTTTCGAGGGCTGCTGGTGGGTCCTGTGGAGTGAGGCACCGCGGGGATCTGAGCGGGACCTCGCCGTCCCTGGGGGGCTGCGATTTGCGACACTGTCGCCTTGTTCGAGGGTTGCTAGTGGGTCCTGCGGAGTGAGGCACCGCGGGGATCTGAGCGGGACCTCGCCGTCCCTGGGGGGCTGCGATCTGCGACATTGTCGCCACTTTCGAGGGCTGCTGTTGGGTCCTGCGGAGTGAGGCACCGCGGAGATCTGAGCGGGACCTCGCCGTCCCTGTGGGGGCTGCGATCTGCGACATTGTCGCCTTTTTCGAGGGCTGGTGCTGGGTCCTGTGGGGTGAGGCACCGCGGGGATCTGATCGGGACCTCGCCGTCCCTGAGGGGCTGCGACCTGCGACATGTTCGCCATTTTCGAGGGCTGCTGGTGGGTCCTGCGGAGTGAGGCACCGCGGGGATCTGACCGAGACCTCGCCTTCCCTGGGGGGGGTCTCAAGAGCTGCTGCGGGATACGTTGAATGCATCGGGCGCATGGCACAGCCGACGGGGGTGATTTGTTATTACGTGGGCTTGCGAGCCTTCCGATTGCTGCTCCCAAAATCACATGCGTCCATGTTACGTCATCGCCCCGTTGTAGCATTCCTGATGTACCTATGCCTCGCATTGCGCAAGGGTTGGGTACGTCGCCAGGGTAATTGTTCTGCGTAGCGCTGCTGGGAGCATCCTTAGCATTAGCACACAACCATGTGCTGGTACACGAGATGCCAGCTTGGTTTGCTACGCGTTGTGTCCACAGTGTCCCATGGACATTGGTGGCTCCTGGGGCAGCAGGTGAATTTTACAAACAGTGTCACCGAGGGCTGCTTGAACTCTCGCATGAGGTGTTCGGCTTTAGGCTGGCCCCGTACCGCCTCTACGCTCCTGTGCCGTCAGGTGTCGTTAAGCCCTTTCTAGCATGGTAGAGGCATGGTTCCTCGTATCTCTTCGGCCCCTTCCAGCACGGTGGAGCCCCTGGCCCATCAAGCAGTTGTCGTCATCATTTGGGCACCCTCGGCGCATTATGCGCCATGTCCCACACTTTCCAGCACCCTCCTCGTCGGCGAGCTGCGTGTCAAGATGTGTCGTACCCTTCTCGCCTGGCCACGCTCAGCTCGGCGTGCCTCGGGCAGCCCTAGCAATCGGTGCAGATTGCAGGGACAGCTTTTTGTTGGCATCCCTCGGACGTGTGCATTTTTTCTTCGGCGACCATAGAGGAGCATCCTGGATCATCCGGGGGGTGAGAAAAACGCACGAGACCGAAACATGCACGGGGAATGTACGACCGAGCGATGGCAGGTTTTTGTAATTCCTCAGCCCTGCTGAGGCGGTGGTGCGGAAGCTGCGGCGCAGAGCGCTGCTGTGCCACTGGCTTCTGCCAGGGTCTCCCCGTCGCCAGGGATTTCGAGCCCTCGCCGACGCGCTGCTGTGGCGCCGTCGGCGTGGTCGGAAACAGAGGCACGAGACCACCCAGACCCCCCGACGTCGCGATCTCCTCGCAGTCCAGACCCCCAGAGCTCTGGACCCCTTCCCCGGGACCGGTGTTGCCTCCCGCGTCCTTCCTTGACGGTCCCGAGGCCTGGCGAGGGCCCTCGGAGGCCGAACACGGCGAGAGACCTCCCGTCGTGATTCGGAGGCCACGGCGCGAGGAGGTCCGGGGAGAGCGGGCGGGCCCCCAGCGGCTCTCCAGAGGGGCTGCTGGCCGCCGCGGTCGCGCGCAGGCGGGCCGCGGCAGCATCGCAGCTCGCAGCTCTCGCAGGCGGGCCGCGCTCGCAGCTCGCAGGCGGGCCGAGGGCGGGGCAGCTCCTGCCAGCGCAGCAGCGGAGGTGGGCGCCGAGGAGGAGGAGGAGGAGGAGGAGGAGGAGGAGGAGGAGGAGGAGGAGGAGGGGAGGATGGGGAGGGGGAGAAGGGGGAATAGCAGGAGGAGGAGGCGGAGGAGGAGGAGGAGGAGGAGGAGGAGGAGGA